ATTAACTGTGTTCCTGAAATCATATTCCCAAACGGGGTTAGAGACGAATCTCTAGTAAACTCCAGGTTTATGGAAAATTCTCCATACCCTGGGCTCACTTCCTGCATGACAATCAGATACATAATATACAAAACATCATATAAGCAATTATCATAACTGTACAAAGCATATATACATATCTTATCAAAGACATACGCAGTCATTCCCAAGGGATGACCCCAAGCGGAAATCAACGTACGTAACAAATATCATTTACAAAAATCATCACAATACTCACATCAGAACAAAACATGTTATATCAGAGACGTACGCAATCGTTCCCAAGGGATGACCCCAAGCGAAAATTAACGTACGTAACAAATATCATTTACAAAATCATCATACATATCACATAAAACATGTCATATAATCAATTATCATAACTAAACAAAACATATACACATATCTTATCAGAGACGTACGCAGTTATTCCCAAGGGAGGACCCAAAGCGGAAATCAACGCACGTGTTCCCAAGGGAGAACCCCAAGCGGAACCAGAACATATCAGAGGCGTACGCAGTCATTCCCATGGGAGGACCCCGAGCGGAAATCAACGCACGTGTTCCCAAGGGAGGACCCCAAGCGGAACCAGAACATATCAGAGGCGTACGCAGTCATTCCCAAGGGAGGGCCCCAAGCGGAAATCAACGCACGTGTTCCCAAGCGGAACCAGAACATATCAGAGGCGTACACCGTCAATCTCAGGGGAACCCAAGAAGACATCAGTGTACCATACAAGTCAATTCCAGCCAAAGATCAATACAGAAATCATATCAGAACAAGTCATATAACTAATGTGTACACAGTCAACCCCAGGGGAGGACCCCAAGTGGGAATCAATGTACGTTTTCCCAAGGGTAGACCCCAAGCGGAAATCAACAAAACATATCATATTAACACATATCAAAGTAAACACATCAAAAAAAAAACATATCATATTATCATATAGCTCTATATGAATGCATCTATATCATATATCTCATACATATCATACAACCCGACCACAGTCCGTACACTATGGTGGAAACACAAAGTAGGAGCGAACCCCATAAACATAGAGCTTACCTCTTGGAGCTTTACAATTTGCTTACTTGAAGAACAAGCTACTTATCATGCTCCACAAGAATCCAAACGTTCACAGTCCCTAGGTACACCTAGAGAAGGAATTCAACACAAAACTCAATAAAATGATATAATGCCATGTAAATATACAAGACACACACTTTATTGTTTATTTTCTTTTTACTTAATCATATTAAGTCATGAGTGGGTGGTTCTTTGTTCAACAAATCTCCACAAAATTTCACATATTCACTTAGTCTTAGGATAGTCCGAAAAGGCCTTTAGAATACTCATTACTCCTCTTAGCACCTAAAAGCCTATTTTTCCCAATTTAAGGCAGAATGCCCATTACAATGGAGCTATAAGATTTCTCTTTGTCTAGTGCCTAAACCCAAGCTTAGCCACCTATATAAATTATTTTACGCACATAAGTTTTCTCACTTTGCGAAACAATATCACCGAACATATACCTCCTTTGAAAATGGCTAAAACTCATTTTAAGGTCATACAAAGGAGCTACCTTATTTTCTTTTTTATTTCACCAAAGCGAAGGTCCATAAACCTTAGAATATTATTCCACGCATAAAAATATGCTCGATTTGTAAAACAGTAACTCATAGCACATACTTCCTTTGTAAATGGCTAAGAGGCACATAAAAGAATGCATGCTAACTTCATGATTCCAATGCTTTAGTCCATCAAATTCAAGCTTATCACACACCTCTAATCCAAGATTCATTAATTCATATATATATATATATATATATATATATATATATATATATATATACATGGTACTGTTCATCTTTACAATACTATTCATGTATACGTCACTATTCATGTATACAATACTATTCAAAAATACGGTATCTTTAATTTTTTAAATACATTTTCACCGTTAAAATTCTCATCTAAACACTTTTCTCAACATAAGCTAAACCTGAATCAAGCTCTAACATGTTCAATCAAACCAAATCTTCAAAATGAAAACCTAAATCCAATCTTCATAAAAACATGAAAAGGAAGGGAAATTTCTTACCACAATGCACTCTAGAACAAAGGAGAGATGAGTTTCTAAGCTCCCATGGCCTCAAGCTCCATCAAAATCCATCTTTTTCATGAAATTTGAAATCTTTGGGGAAGAAGATCTCTCTACAGTGAAACCCACCCAGAAATATTGGTACTAATGGATTCCTCTCAAAATTTCTCACCAGTTTGGCTTTGAAACAGAGTGATTTGGAGGTCTCTAGCTCAAGTTATGAATTTTGGAAGATTTTCCATGAAAATCTCCATTTTCTTTCCATTTCGTTTCTGTCTCTCTATCTCGGCCGAAAAAAACGAAGAAGAATAGTGACTCCTTAGTCACTTATATAAGTCCATTATACCAGCAGGTATAAGCTCATATATCTATACACCTCCTATCATTACCAAACTTTACTCAATAGACTAGAATATTTTTCTAATCACGTTTCTATTTTTACTTTCACTTTTTGAGTAACTTTATTTACCCGTATTTTTACCACTTAACTGTCATTTTAACTTTACAAAAAAAAAAAACTGTCATTTTAACTCTTTTTTCACCAAAGGTGATTTTATTTCTTTTTCTTATAATTATTCTTCAATATTAAATCCACAATTACTAGTGTGAGGGTCATTATAATTGACAGAAACCAACGGTTAAGATTTAGTAGTAAGAAGTAGTAAGAAAAAAAGGTAATAAGTATAACCTCTTTCATTTTTAAAATACAATTTTAACCTTATCCTATCATACTGATTTTATCTCTCATTTATTGTAATATTATATATAAAAAGTGTTTTTTTATTTAAACGTCCGAACAACTTTATTATGTAAAAGTGATTTTCAGATCATACATCCAAACGTAAAATAATTTTACGTTTTAAAAAAAGATATTTTAAACAAAGTAATGCATAAAAAGTCATTTTTTTAAAAGCTCATCCAAACGGACCCTTAATATTAAAAAAGAGAGAAATTATATCATCATTTTATATTGGATCAATCTATATTATCATCTCTATTTAATTTTATATTTGACTCCCTCGCATTTATATATCTATCAGTATTCATTGCTCTCATTTTCATCTGACAAATCTAATTTATTAGTCCCTTCAACCCTGAAATTATAATTGGGATCAATGGCTTAAACTTACATTAACATAAGTTGTTCCTCCTCTATATGTACCAGAAATCATTGTCCGAAATGTTCCATACTTAAATAATCTAGTTATAGGACTTTCTAACATAAAATTATTTAAAAAAAATATAATATAAAATTATTAATTAGCCTCATCTAATAGCATATATCAATTGGTTCTTTATATCTTATTAGAACTTATGTGAAAAGTTCAATCCTCATAGCTCTTCTATTAAAAAAATTAATTAAATATTGTGAAGTTTTTAACATAGTAGGCGTGGAATAATGCATTACATATCCCTCAAATCCAATGGACTCCTTTTGTTAGGACGTGTAAGAGAAATATAATATAAAATTATTAATATAGTCTCACTAATGACTTAAATTTTTAGATTGAATTAGTTCTTTATATTTACAAGTTTAAGATTTACTTATAAAAATAAGGTTTCTTCACTTAAATCACTCCCATATTATACAAGAGGAAGATTACTAAGTATAAATTAGCAGCATTCTGATTCTGATTTTTGTTTGGAAGCTTTCAGTCAAATGGTTGGTTATAATCCGTCGACTAATACTCGTCATACTATCAGTATCAATTTACAAATGAAACTGACAATAGGAGATACTTCGTTGGTGCAATTATGGTATTCGCATGTATCTTAGTATAGAAAAGAGTGAAAGCAAAGCAAATTAAACAGAGATGAATAGGAAAAGGAGAGATGATAGGTAGATAAACACAAATGGAGGGAAATTTGCAGATGGGCGTGAGCAATGCATTTTGGCTGAGAAATAGGTAAAAGAAAGTGAATTGCAAAGAAAGAAAAAAAAGAAAAAGAAAGATCAAGGACATAGAAGTGGTGATTGGCAAAGGAGGGGGAAAAAATGGGTGGAATCAAGTTGAGCATTTATCATCTGACGTAATATCTCTCTCATTATTCTCAACCGTCTCAATTACTCTTGCATTTATGTGATTTAAATGGTCTTAATAGAATAGCCTTTTTTTTTCAATGCTTGGAACTACCCAACCCACCCTCTACCATATCCCTTGATTCCCTCATCCTTTCTCTTCCAAACCCACAATAAAATTTTCTTATACTACACGACATACGACTTTCACGCCTTTGCTCTCATTATACTCGTGGTTACTTGAAATTTGTAACATAGGAGTTGGAAAAATGCACCCTATTTTTTAATAGCTATTATAGGCAAAACTTCTGGTTGACTACATTGGATCATGTCAGGGGATATGAATGAAATTAAAAAAACTGATTTTCTTATGATGATAAATATAAGCTATTAGATATCGTATTAGATACTATCCCAAATTGTTAACAGGCGATCTACAAGAAAGTCAGCTATCACATTTATCTACCGCAATTAGTTGCCAACCATTATGCTTGGATTTCAACTTATACAAGCCTTCTTAGTTTTTTTCTTTTTTCTTGCATAAAAAGTGCACATGAGAAGTTAACTTCACAGGAGGTTACTGCAATAGATTGAGCTGTAAACATCGGTTTGTTGGGTCTTAACTTTCAAACAATTCCAACTGTTAACCAAGTACAGAGGATCTAACGGAGTAAATTTTTGTTGCCGCTATTTTATTTGCCTCTCTTTACTTTTTATGGTGGCTAACATTAATAATTACAGCATGTGTGCCTGGTTGGATGAAACAGTAAAATTAAAATATGATTAATAAAGAGAAAAAAAAAAAGGAGAGTCAAGGAAAACTAAGGTTGATTTAACCTTAAATTTCAACAAGCAAATTAAGAGGGCACCTGAGGTTAAGCCCTATTACACTTTTAGCAGGAAATCTGAACCTAAAGCCCCAGTTCCCATATAGATACTCCTAACATTCCCAATTTCCCAGTAACTTACTTTCTATATGTGATTAGAAATAGTGCTATTTACGCTCCACTCTGTTTCTGCATCCCCTGCTTTGACAAAATTGTTGGGATTTCCTCAATGAAAGCAGAATACAGAGAAGGTAAAAGTGGAGCGCACGTAGCACTATTCATACAAGGGGAAAATAGTTAAAAAAATTAAAAAAAAAAAGTAATTTAAAAAGGAGATTCCTAGGATTAAAAGCTAATATATTATGTCCTACAACTAGGAATAGCGATACCAATAACAGCAGAGAAAAACAGAGCTAGAAACAGGGGATCCTAACTCTAGCTCCTTCTAACGGTGGGTTTTTTTGTTGTTGTTGTTGTCGTTGTTGGTGTTGTTGTTGTTGTCATGAAGAAAATCAAGCAAAACGGTGCTTTTGCATTTGGGGCACTTGGCGTCATCTTCAGCGAGCATCACGTACATGAGGCAACGAGGACAACCTACAAGAACCATGGAAGTGGCTTCAGGGCTGTCAGAGTATCTTGGGTTGTCCTCTTGGTTGAGCTCCGATGACACACAAGAGCTCGGTGGTGACGTCGGAGACACCGTCGCGGATCTTGTCGGCGACTCCAGTCTCCTGTCAACCCTCGGTGGGGATAGGTTCAGCTTCAAGTCAAGCTTTGGACCACTTCCGTTTCTGCGATTCATGGCTTCCCCTCTGCTTTTTCCACGAAGAACGTTAGAAAAAAAATGGAAAATTAGAAAAAAATAAAGCATATAAAGGAGATTGAATAGCATCATAAATTGAAATTGAAATTGAAAAAGAAGAAAAAAGGCAGTGATGACTCACTGTGTAAGGTTGGTTGGTGGAAGAAGAGGAATGACAGAAAAGAGAGTGACAGGGATAGAAGCAGCGAAGTGATCTATGTTGTGCGAGAAAGGATGGACCTTGAAGGCCATTTTATATAAGGAAAATGAAGGGGGGAGTGATTTAAAGCTTAATTTAATTGAGGGAGAGAGGTGGAGGGTGTAGGGTGTATAGAGAGAGAGAGAGAGAGAGAGAAAGAGAGAGGAGAGAGAAACAGAGTTATGGAATTGAATTGAATTGAATTGAAGTATTGGGTAGAAGAAGAGTGTAAATTGAGGCCAGGAAATGTATTAATTGTTTGGAAAAATCCCAAGAAGTATGCAGGAAGGGGAAATTTGTAGTAAATATTGCAATTACAAAGTGCAGAAGGGAGGGCCTTTCTTCATTCATTGCTTAAGGAGAGTCGGTGTTTAAGACTCTCAGAGCAACACAGCTCAAGAGAAACCCAACGACGGCTTTTAAAGCCAAACCCTTATTTAAAAATTCAACCCCACACCAATAAAATTTAATACTATGTAGTAAATACCAATATTTTTTTTGTAGCTATGGAGAACCAAGTGTAACAGCCATGACTCAAATTTAAATATTCAACAGTTCCCCAAGACAATGAAAGCAAACTAAATGAATTGACAATGGTTAATGAACTAGATGACGACACCCTCACGTTTGAAAATTTTATGGTTGAAGCAAAATATTATGTTTACAAATTCAACTATGTACTTGAGATAATATAAATATGTATTTCATGTAATATATAGTTGACGTTAAAAGAATTTGTAAACAAAAAATTTGTAAATATAATCCTGAAAGAAATATTTTAGTTTTGCAAAGTAAATAAAACACGATTATCTCGCATTAGATATTTTTCTCTGGCTGCATGTAGCATGTAGCAGCACCCTCTTCATCTGAATCTTAAACCTTGTGGACTAGGTTCTCACTTGGTTTGGAAAGTACAACCGAGTTCATAGTCCAACAGACATTACAGAATCTCATTGTGTTTTTATCAAGGTCCCATTGATTCTTTTGAAGACATTATTATCATCATTAAAAACAAATTAAAGAATGCTTACTGTCTAGAATTTGATTCATGATTTGACAATGCAACCACAGAGGCAGGGAGAGCTATGGAACATTTACTATAGTATGGCTCCAATTTTTCCTGCAATAGCTGCCTTTAGGCTTGTTTTCCTTTGCTTTGTGAAAAATTGTGTCGTAATTTATAGCTTTTCCATTGGTTCCCTGAACGCAAACAGGAATTAAATTATGAGATTTACTCATTTTTATATTGAATTTTTAAATATATTAGTATATTACCTATGTTTTTAAATTTTAATAGCGTCTGCCTTAATTGTTATTATTTTTTATAAGTGTAGAAAATAGTTTTTGTTTATGGTAATCAAATTTAAGCATGAAAAAAATAATAGTATTTGTGTCAAAATAATTCCCTTGCACAAAGGTAATTGTCGATTGAAAAAAGGAAAAAGGTGAAGGGTTATTGCATGTGAATTGCTGCGACCATGGTAGTTAAAATTTTGATTTAAATCTTAGATTTTATGATTTTACGATTTTTTTCAATCAAAACGATTGTATCAAAATTTCAAACGCTTTTAAGTTTTTTTATGATTTTTCTTACGTTAAGACTTTACGTTTTACGATTTTTTACCCTCCTTCTAATTTTAGGTAAAAATTCTGATTTTAACTACCATAATTACGACTACTCCAGCATTATTTGTTTCGCGGCAGAGAAGGTCTACATTATTTATTAATATTTGAAAACCAAATAAAAAACCCTAGGTCAAGGAAATGATGAAATCTGGTGAAGAGAGAAAATCAATTGTAAAGGGGCAGTTTCATTTTCCATATGTGCAACTTTATGGTCAACGTGGCCTAGGTTCATGAAACATGCTTTAAATAATGTCTTCTACTTTCTATAAATAGACAATCCCATTCTTCTTCGAAATTCAACATCTCATCGATGTCATACACATAAGGAGGATATCTTTCTCCATTTGAACCACATAAACAGTCGTGCGTTAAAATTGAAAATTCAGCAACTCATTGAAAAAAAAAACTCACTGGTCAACTTCGATTTAATTTATTGAATTATTAGATCTATCATTCACTACTTTATACAGGAATTTATTGATTTATAGCTTTTTTTTATTTTATTTACGGTGGTGGCATTAAGATTTAAGTTTTCTACCATCATGATATACATATTAATAGTAAAGATATATAATATAAAATCATTAAAAATTAATCTCTTATTAGCTTAAGTTGTTGCATTGAATTAATTCTTTAAATAGTATTATAGCCTTATTGATTATGGGATCACGAGTTTGATCATCATCGCTCCTATTTTCTAATGAAATAAAGTAAGCACGAGGTAGAATCAAAAAATGGACTTGTACAATACCCACGTTTCAAATCTAAAAAGCTATTGTGCTTGCATGAATAATGTATGTTAGAGAAATATAATATAAAATCATTAAATGTCAAACACATAATCACATAGTAGCTTAAGTTTTTGATTACGTAATTGAGAATGTAAAAATATTTTATAGGGAAAATTCAAGGACTTAGGTAGAAATCTCGTTTCACACGTAAGAAACACACAAGGGAGGAAAAACAATAACTTCCTATTATATAATTAATTTGCTAACAAGTTCGTAAAATATTGGATAATGAATCTAAATAAAAAGTATAATTATTTGAAATAATGAATCTTGAGAATTTAAAAAGTGTTTAATATTTTTTTTTCCTTAAACCTTTATATAATTTATGCGAGTACTCTCTAAGTTTCAAAATACCTATCACTTAGAAGGTGTTCGGCAGAGGGAAAAAATATTTTTATCCAGAAATCACGATTCTCGAAAATATAATGGGAAAGAAAATTTTTCGAAAATATTATCCAAAAATTGTTTGGTAGGCCAAAATGTTCTCGAAATGTTGGGTTAATTTTCATGATACTATGTTTGATTATTTTTGTCTGAAAAATTAATCCATCGTCTGAAATTTCTGAAATATCACCCTCTAGATGGTATTTTTTGGTGATATTTTGTTTTAAAAATACACACAAAACAGAATCTTGGGAAAATAACTTTCCTGAGAAAATTTTCTTCAATATGCTACCAAACATGGGATTCTAGAAAACCCACCTTTACTTTCCCTGACATTTAAAAATAATCCTCTTACCAAATACCCCCTAAGATAATTGCAAAATATAGGGAAAGTTACTATTAAAGAGCCTCAATTATAAAATGAATTTTGTTCGATACCGATGGGATTGAGATATCCATTCATAGATTGATATGTTTTTTTATAGGATCTAGACGCTATTTTTCATGTACTTATAAGGGATGTATCTTAGAGAATAATAGATCAGTGTGCACTATAATAACAGCATAGCCAAAGGGTGGGGTATATGCACAGTAATAGCTAAGAGAGAGAAAGGATTCAGGAGGTGCCTACCTGATTGCCTTAACTTTTTATTTATAGATGAGTTACCTAGCAGAAGTGAACTTATGGACCTCTTAGGAATATTATGAGTCCAGATCTTGATTCATTACTGTCACGTTAAGATTAGTATAATTGTTATAAAAAAAAAAAAAATTAGTATAATTAAGAAATATTTCTCTAATTTTTCTTTTAACCGTTAGCTTTTCTTGGGCCTTCTAGAATATGAACATTTATGTCATGTTAATAACAAATTTAATATCGAATGAGGTGTGTTAATGTAGTCAAATTTAATAAATGAAATGTCAAACAAGATCCATGATAATGTAAACAAATTTTACATTAATAGTGCATTAAATTAAAGTATTATATGCATTAAATTAAAGTATTATATAAAAATGTAACGTGCGTTATTTGACTAAATCATCTTTTATTAAAATACTCAAAATACTATCACTCCATAATATATTGCTCTTATTCCATTCAATAAATAGACTAAAAGACAGGAATAAAGTTTAAAAAAAAAGTATTTTTTTTGAATGATAGTTAAATTAAAACAAAATACTTTTTTCTAAAGCGACTGATATGTTGAAACGGATGAAGTAAATAAATAAATGAATTGTAACTCTTACCTTGACTCCACTGCACTGTTTTAAGCTTCTTCCTAATATTACAGAGTGATGCTTGTTATGAAATCATATAACTTCACACCTTTACAATTTCAACCATCTGATTGTATAGCTTGTTCCACCAGAATTTTTGTACACATATACTATGATGTTGCCACTCAAGCATAAGTGAACACAAGTGAGTAAAAGTGATGTGTAATAAGCATTATTCTATATTGATTAATTGGGTCTTGCTAAAAAAATAAATGTTATTCCTAACAAATATATGAAGATATTCGACGATAATTTAGTTTCATTCAGTGAATTTGAAAGAATGGCTTCTTTCTTCAGCCAAAAAAAATCCCTCGAGTGTGGATTTCCTTCCCACCCATTTGTTCCTAGGTAAAGTATTAAATATGGGGATAAGATAATCGTGTGAATGCAGAACTGATCACTCTGGTAATTTTAATAAATTCTAAGCTGCTTTCATTTAATAGTTATTTAGTTGGAGCTTTAAATAGAGTCACCAGAAATCAGAAGCATCATATACTATCTTATTTTGAATCTATTAGATAAGTACACACAACACTAATATCGGTCATTGATCATTTATGAGAATATGGGGCTTCCATGGCAAAATAATAACAACTTCTCTCTTTGTTTATGAAGGCTGATCAGACATGTATTTGTTGTTATCTTCTCAACCTTGACTCTTATTTCTGAATATCTATGTAGGAATTCAGAAGCTTTACTTTCAAAATTGATGTGACTACTGACCATATTTCTATGTTATCCAAGTTTTCTCATTGTAAAGCACCGATTAACTGTTTCAAGCCATGGAAAAAAATTTATATGCACAGGAAGTATGTCTTTAATTAATTGTAGATAAAGAGTATATATGCACAACAGCACAAGTCGCAATAGGAGGCTGGGAAGAGGCAATAATGCGTAGTCATTGCAAATTGTGGGAATTAAATTTGGCATGAACTTGCAACAAATGTGCACCACATTGAAGGTGGACTAGGTGGGGTGCCTAATCGAATAGTGAATTCATTTTGCTTTTGAAGAAAGGCCCTGTCTACGTGTATATCTTTATTAATTATTATTAAACGTTATCTTGCTAGTTGCAACCAGCAAGCCACAAATTATTTGTGAACCAAACATACTTGAAGTGAATTTAGGGTATATTAGGAAGAGTATGATTTTCATGACGATTCCAAAGGCTTGAAGTGGGGTGTATTATCTGGGGTTGACCCTAGTTTTGTGGATCTATTAATCTCGATTGATGGAATTAAAATTTCTTTATTTTGATGTTATTATTTTTGAGAGAGATATCTGTATAGTAGA